TTTTTTCGATTTGGTTCACATGAAGCTCAGAGTTCATCTTCTCTTGATAAAGACTGGCCAAGGTCAGGTACAGATTTGCTTCGTCATGTTCGCCTGTGTTTCTATTGTCGCTCCTGTAATTGTTACAACCCGTTACATCGTATCGGTATAATCATAGATCCGCGCGTGTCCCGGCGGAAGCTCCAAGTTGAGTAGACTCGTTTGATGCTGAGCACGCAGTCAATCGTAATCTTCTCCTGTCGCAGTTGAATCTTATCCTTGTGATGACACGCATTTGAGGGCGAGGCAAGAGTGATTCTCTCTACTGATATCGCTTCATAGACCGTTATTATAGCGTATTTTGACGGTCAGAGATCTGAGTTGAAAAATCATGTAGGTAGCCCTTATTGGCATACCAGAATAGACTTGTGAAGGTGTCGTGTTATCCTGTCACCAACACTTGCGGTGGTACCTCAGACCTCTTACGCTACGAAATCTGCGTCCTTGAACAACTTCGGTCCAAATCATTTCACCGCCACATGCAAGAATCATTTTCCGAATGTCTGAAAACATTCCTGGTCAGTTCTTGCTACTCTCGAATCTCACTTTGTATCTGGCCTTTCTCCATACTTATCTCGTCAGCAATTTTTTCTTAAAATGCTAGCTAGTCGCGTTTTTCTTAGAAGAACGTCTGAAAGCCCTCGGAATCTCAATTATCAGTCATCTACATCACTCTCTGATCCCATCCGATACACATTAAGACAGCATTTGTTTTCGTATGCGGTCTGAGCCTTCGTCAGGTTCATCGTCATCATCCTCGTTGTTGACTTCTTTTACTAGCGTCTGCTGTCTAAACTTCTAACATCTTCTGCTGGATATCCTTGCGTTCCTTCGCAAGGTGCCATAAAGATTCGTCATCCGAGTCACTCAAAATCGACGGTTTCTGCTTCGAGTTTTGGGCTTTTTATCACGGGGAAGTCTTCATCCTTTGGATTGGCTTGTCTCAAAGCATAGTCCTTCCACTCCGTATCGCTAGCAAACACAGTTCCTTTCGACAGACGTCGTGCAGGACGCTTCTGCTTGGACATTTTTTATTTTGGGTTTGGCCTCGTATCTACTGGTGTTCTCCTAGTTCCGCTCCTGAGTCTGGAATGCCATTTTTATGCTTAAACGCTTTCGCGCTCATTCCTGCTTCTGTATTCTTCGAACTATTTTTCAATAAGTTTTCCACCTTATCATCCCCTGCCTAACAGCGCTGTTCGAGGGTAGGTGGTGATATTAGTAGGCGTAGTTATCTTTGTTTTCATAGTACAGATTAGTTGTAGACAGAAAGATACAAAGTACGTTTCACCAGGCTGACTGTTTAGCACTGTAATAGATGTAAACGTAAATGCGCTAATATTTTAGAAAAAATAAGATTAGCTTCAGCCCTTAGTAGTGAACTTAAATATAAGAGAAAAATAGACCGAGACACTTGACCGTCTGATCACTACTTCGGTCAAGATTTATTTCAAACCGATTGGTCAAATTCACACTTCTAGTCTATCGGCCAGCTACAAAATTTCACGGCTGTACAAAACATGTCTCCAACATGGGAACTTAAAGCGTTAAACTTTTGATGTCGAATTTAGGAACCCCCTCCCCAATTTCGAGTATTGGGAGTATAATTAAGTGTTGTACTGTTGGCGATCCCGTCTATTTTGATATTTATGATCGGATACATTTCATTATTGGTGTCAAATTTCTGCAAAGTATCTTTTCAGAGAATAACGGGAAAATAAGTGGGGTACCTTTTATTGACCTTTTATTGTGGTCTGAATCGTGACAGACAGATAGACGAACGAAGTCGTCAATAAAGTTTTGACGGGCTTCCAAGCTTTTCGTCCTCAGTTATCAAATAAGTCTAAATCCTCCAACTTTTTAAAAACAAAAAGCAAAAAGCAAATCACCAAGCTAGTGCACTGCACCGAGGACTCCATTACTTTGTACTTATAGCTCTCCATTCCATTTTACACATAGACGGGCACATCCCAGTTAGTTTGACAGAAATATACTAATTGTTATATTTTTTCAGTAGGTTATCTTGCTCTGTGATTATTTGATTATATACGCCCTTTTAATGTTTGGTGAAAAACTATTATTTCTAGAATAACCACCTACATCCTATTGTCTACTAAAAAGTTCTTCAGCTCCAAAGTATCTATAGATCTGATTTTCAAAGTTAGGATTTTATCTAAAAACGTTCTTCTACTTTGTCAGGAACTCGATATTTTGGATTAACTTCATCCCTTCTATATATCTATAGTCTTGACAGTGTTTGCATTTTTACAAGTATTTTGGTGTTGTCGTCCGTTTCCCTTACATTCTTCACAAGTTTTGTGTAAAGGTAGACAACTGTATCTATCGCTGGCCGGTTTGTACACCACTTTCCAATACAGTAAGTGATTGCGCAGACCATATCTATCTTCTTCGCGAAAGCCTTTTCACTTTCGATGTTGTCTTTCTTATTTTGCTTCCTGCTTTGGTTAGGCGGGCCGTTGACGTCGTGACGTCAATATCTTTCCTGTCCTTCTCCGGTTTAAATTTTAGTCTTGCAGTATTTTCCAGTTTTGACACCCGACACTCCTGAGTTCCTCCCCGAGTAGCGTAGCACCTTGGAATAAAATTCGGTGTATCTGTGAGAGTCAATTATTGAAGTCAAACAATTATAATATTGGAGTAATTATGACGCTATCATTTAATACGAGGTTTGATATTTCGAGTCAAAGTGGACTTATATTGAGCGCCGAGCTGAACTTCCACCCATTTTGTATTCTTTGCCTTAAGGTGGTGCTGGGCAGTGTCAGACTATTGTCAACAAGTTCAAAATAACCTATCGTCCCAGTTTCAGCCTTAAATCCATACAACATCTCTTGAAGCTCAGCACACGAATGTACTGTCGTATTTGCTATATTGGCACTGAAATTAGTATGGTTTAAAAAGGTGCCACCGGTAACAAAAATACATGTCCCTAGTTTTCAGTGTTTTTTTTGGCTAACTTTACAAGGTAGTCTTCATTTTTGTTCACGCTCAAAAGCATACAATTTCGGATCCACCAAGGTCAGCAGTGTCCCTTTATAGGCTGCCTGTTTGAAGTAATTGTTAGCCGCTGCACCTTTCTGGTCATCTATTATAGCACTGGTACTAGACCAGTTGTTCAAATAGGCTTTAGTATTTGTAAATAATATTGTTATATACTTGATTATTATATGTATTGGTGTCCTTTCGTTCTTTTGCTTTAGGCAGAACTGCAAGGTTAGCCTTGTACTTCCTATATTCAGGTTGTGCGAGTCCTTACTTGGTCTCCAATCAATTCTACAATAATCATACCGTGATCAGTCAAATTGTTCATTGGCGACATTCTAAACTTGTGTATGACAGTTGAGTGTGCTGCCTACAATTCAAGTCCTGCATTAGGCTTACACTCCTATATGTTGTGTTTGGAATGCGAGAAAAGGACCTTGGAGTGAAGCTTCAAATATTTACCTTTAGAAAAACATCTTCGGTATTGCTTCATTAGCGGCTTGCATGTAAGAACGCGGCACTCGTCCTATTGGCAAACGAACTCTAATCCATATTTTTTTCTCTGCCTTGTGGACAATTGTGTTTGTATGACTACCATTTGTATCATCCATACGAGGTTTCTTTTGTTAGAAAAATCTTGTTTGATATTTTTCATTCCATAATTTTTCCGAACTTCTCCCGAGTTCCGAACTTCTTGGTCCCGAACTTTTACTGAGTTTCAAACTTCTCTCCTTGAGTCCGAACTTCAATCTGGACCCAAACTTTAGTCGGCGCATATGTATTTCTATAGGAGAAAGTTCGCTACCTCCATCTCTTGTCGGGGTTTAGAGCTAAGGTGAGCTACTGCTCTGCGACTATAGTCACCCCTTTTGCCTTGCGTGCGTTATACCTTCTGTCGTAGCCTTATAATCTTCACTCGGCAGATCGTCTACTGAATCATCGATCTAGTCGATTCCTTCAGCGTATCGTGGTTGCTTGCTGCTATTCGTGCGGCTGCTCTCGTCACGCTCAAGTTGCATCTTCTATCTCAGTGGATCTTTAATCGTCTCCATCTCCTCGAATTCGTTGCATTTAATGGGCTGAGCGGATTCTTACATCCTTCCGCAGTATTCCCGGATACTCTTCTCCGTCCGCTGCTGTTACGCTTTCGCTATGGAAAACATTGTGTATTTAGCTTGTTGGTTGTCGTTGCTACCGTGTTCCGATATTTGTCCACTAACCAAATTTCCAATATTTTTTTTTCTCGATATTTGATAGCATTTTCCTAGTGATTTTTCTCGCATATATATTGGGAGCAATTCTTATCTCAACACTTCTCTTAGCTTAATAACTTGAAGCTCAACACCCTCAAGGATTGTGCAAAGCACGTATTAATATATATATATATACATATATATA